CCTTGACTACTTCAGTATTTTCTGTTTATCCTGATGTTGCTTACTGTTCCAGTTGTAAGGATTTTTGTTTTCTTTGTGTTAATGTGTAATCCATACTGAAAGCTGTAGTCTTTGATCTTTGTCAGTAAATGTTTAAGTCTTCTTCACATTTCAACAAGCAAGGTTGTGTCATTTGCATATCACAGATGTTAATGAGTCTTTTGGGTTTTTGTGGGGGCTTTTGGTAAAACTATTAGTTACAATTTTTCACCAATCAGATTGTGAAGAATTAGACTATATCCAGGGTGGTGAACTGTATGTAAATTGATCTACCATTTTAGGAGGGCAAATGTTAGAGCCCAGCCAAGTTATAAATGTGCATGTTCTTCAGCCCAGCAGTTCCTCTTCTAAGCACTTATCCTATAGAAATAACCACACAGGAATGCATGGATGTTCATTACAATCATGTGTAATATCAAGAAATTGGTGATGATATATATCTTTAACAAGAGGGGGATGGGTAAAGCATGGTACATTCATATTTTAGAATTGGGTGTTGAAAAGGACACAGTAGGTCTATATATGATGATTTGGAAATATACAGTTGATATACTGTTAAGAAAAGGCAAGTTTCAGAATAATGAGCATACAAGATCCCATTTTACTTTTCTATAAAAATATGTGTCTGTGTGTGTAGGAAGAGTTGGGAGGATACACTCAAGCTGTTGACAGTGGAGTATAGGGGAGCAGGAGGTTTTTATACTTTATATATATATACACGTTATTGTTGCTTGAAATTTTACCATCAGCAAATGTGCTTTTCAGAACTTTTTTTTTTTTTTAAACTATCTTGGCCTAAGATAGGGGCCTGGGTTCTAGCCATGGCTCTGTCACTTAGCTAAAAAATTGTAGTGATGGACCTAACCTCCGTGGCTTTAGCTACCTTCGCTGTCTACGAATGAATGAATGCACGGATGCTTTTGTGTTTTCAAGTGTTTGGTCGTTACGGCTACTTTCATAATCAAGAAAATGAATAAGCCTCTTTGTTGACTTTTGATGAGTTAATTGAGCTAGATCTCTAAGCACCCTTCCAGCTCTAGCATCTGTTTAAGACTGATCTCAAATGTACTTAGATTTTAAAATTAAAAGCAAAAAGAACTTGACACCCACTGTAGTTTTTAAAACTGACGTGTGAGAGAATGCCTTTGGTCACTGCTGAGAGGGAATGGTGCAAATTTGTAGGCTTCTTGTGCCTTTCTTTCTGTTCTGGAATCCTTTCCTCCTGGCGCTCTGATTTGCTCGCCTCTCGGGAGGAAGGGCAGACCCTGCAAGACTGAGGTCTGTCCCCAGCCAGCCAAGAGAAGTTATTTTTGTTTGGGTGCTGAACAGTTGGCTTGTCTCCAGGAGCATGTGTGTGTTGGTGTGGGTGGTGTGTCTCGCCTGCTGCTGCCCCTCTGCTCCTGCTTCCAGCCCCAGGAGTTTAGACCTGAAAGCAACGGCCTGGTGTCTGCTGTTTCTCACGTCCTACCCACTCCTGACCCACTCCTGACTTTGGAAGGGCAATAGCAGACAAGAATATAGCCTACATGAAGTTGGAGACTTTTCTGCTAAAGCTTTACTTGAAAGTGGCCCCTGCCTCCTTACCTGCAGAGACAGAGGACTCAGGAGGACTCAGTCCAAGTATTTGGGCTTTCTTCGCCTTAATTATGCTAATGTTGTTGTTGTTGTTGTTATGTTATATGGTTTTTGGTAATTAACACTCTTGAGTTTGTTGTTGTTGTTATGTGCCGTCGAGTCAAACCCGACTCATAGCGACCCCTCCTTGGGTTTCCGAGGCAGTATCACTACGAAAGTAGGATTGCCCTACCTTCCTTCCGAGGAGTGGCTGGTGGGTTTGAACCGCCAGCCGTCTGGTTAGCAGGCAAGTGTCTTAGCCACTATGCTACCAGAGCTCCCAATTATGCTAATAGAGCTGCCTTTTCCTCCGCCAGCCTTAGAGTACATGCTCCGTGCTACAGTTCCTCTCACCTACTTTCCAAATTGTCTTTTATCAGCACAGCCTGGGAATAATATCTTTCTTTTTTTTTTTTTTCCCCTCACCAGTCACTCCTTGGAAGGATGACTGGGCACGACTGCGCAATCTACTTGGAACAGTATCTTTCTTGGTGTAGGGCTTGACATGAGCCTGGCATGCACCCAGATCCATATCTGGTCTTGCCAGGATCCACAGGCAAACTCAGTATCCTGTATCAGCTGCTGGCAAGAAGTCTGTTGGAGCAGGTGCCCCAGCCCTCAGCCCTCAGCATGTGCAGAGGGGCCCCTCCACTTGTTGTACAACTCTGGAATGGGGGCTATTTACACTGGGCATCATGAGGAGCCATTGATAGGGACAACACTGTATTTAGTGTCCCCTGGAGTTGTGTGCGGTGCCACCTAAGACCTACACGTGAACTACAAACTCCTTGGTAACATCAGGTTGTCACTATGCAAAACTGAGTGCTTCTTGGGGAACAGGCTATAAGGACACAGCCTTTGCCTTTTGGAACCTCCAATATAGTGTAAGCAGCTGGTGCCGGGCAGTTCAAGGTCATCTTCTCTGCTGGGTATCACAGGCGCATCATTTGTCTCTGCTTTTCCCAGCTACCTTCTTGATACCAGAACTTCTGTAGCCCTGCTCTTCATACATTTCTAATTCAGAGTTTTTTTTATTTGTCTTTCAGCTGCAGAGCTACTTTGCTGCCTGTGAGGATGAGACCCCAGCTATCCGGAACCACGATAAGGTTCTGCAGCGTCTATGTGAACACTTGGACCATGCCCTGCTCTACGGGTAAGGAGATAGTTTCTAGAGATGGTAAGGCACAGCAGGGCATGACCAGGGCTTGAGTTGCTGCCAGAGATAAATCTGTAGCCTTGTCCACCTTTTATTTCTTCTTTCTTTTGGCGGAAAGGGATTTGTCTCACTCAGCTGGGCTGCAGGCTTTCTGTAGGTAATCCCAGTAAACTGCCTCTGGCAAGGCATAAATGACAAGGGAGAGAATCAGCAACCAGCGAAAAGGTGTGTTGGTTGCCTAAGGGATCTAGAAGTACCTTACTTTCAATCCTAAACTCACTACTGACCGTAAGGTGGTAGACCAACTTTGTGCAGCTTCCTAGGGCAGCCCCATTTGGATCATAGCAGCTCCTGTCCTGTTTTCTCAGACTGCAAGACCTCTCCTCTGGCTACTGGGTGCTCGTGGTGCATTTCACCCGGAGAGAGGCCATCAAACAGATTGAGGTGCTGCAGCATGTGGCCACCAATCTGGGGCGCAGTGAGTAGTTACAGGGGCATTCTGGGAAGGGACCAGCTCCGCTCTGCTGTGGGTAGCTTGGGGCTCAGGCTTGGCATCAGGGTCAGCCCTGGGAGGCTGATAGCCTTGTGATGTCAGAATGCCAGCACCCTCTTCTCCCTGTATATGAGAGCTGGTCAGCTCATTAGTGATGGGGTGGAGGGGAGCCAGAGATGAAGAGAGCTGGACACTGTCAGATTCCAGCTCAAGCATGTGTTGAGGCATTCTGTTTCTCCCTGAGCTGGGATAAATGCTAGCATACAGAACCAGTGAGCACTCCTTAAATTCCTCAACCCATCTGAAGTTTACAGTCTGCCCTCTTTCTCAAAAGTTTCCTGGCCAAGCTGCAGGCTGGGGTCTGGTGGGGGCAATAAAGATTTCAGGGCTTTTGGTACTCTACCAAGTGAGAAGGCTGCTGGAGTCCTTGGTCCCCTCACCCACTCTTTCTGCCCTTGCTTGGCAAAAATGCCAGCACCCTGATGATCTATCTTCCTTCCAGTTACTCCTACCCTTTGTCTGCAGGCCGGGCCTGGCTATACCTGGCCCTCAATGAGAACTCACTGGAGAGCTACCTACGGCTGTTCCAGGAGAACCTGGGCCTGCTGCATAAGTACTATGTCAAGTGAGTTACAAAACAGTCTGTCTCACAGTTTAGAGCTCCCCTTAGAGGCTCATCCCAGACACTCTTGTTATATGGATATCTCAGTGTGCCCATCAGTGGCCCAGTCTAGCCTTGCATGCTGAGGACGTGTCAGTGATGGCCAGAGCCACTGAAGCCTTACCTACCAGTATGACGGCTTTTGCTGGAAGTACTGGTGTTTCCCCTAAGCTCTGTGTAGCAGTTGGTGCTCTGTCACTGCTCGATCCTCCAACCAGGCTTTAGACCAGTCTAGAATGCACACATCCCCTTTGGCACAATCTTTCCTGGGGTTATTGCAGGAGCAGAGTATTTATAGCAGCTGCCAAGAACCTGGTGAGCCTCATGCTACCGGCTCCATATCTGAACACACTGTCAGTGCAGCTCTGCACCCAGTGGGAGAATGCCAGAAAGGGACAGGGTACAGTACAGGAATGGGGGTGTCACGTGTCAAATTTCAACACAGTGAGGTTGGACCAAACTGGTAACCAGACCCAGAATCACCATCATCCCTCTGTGTGTCTCGCAGGAATGCTCTGGTCTGCAGCCATGATCACCTGACTCTCTTCCTGACTTTGGTGTCTGGGCTGGAGTTCATTCGGTTCGACCTTGATCTGGTGAGACACCATAGCCATGCTCCTTGTGGGACTGGGAGGAGAGGGTAGTATGGGTAGATTTTTCAAGTCCCTCTTGGGGAACCTGTTGAGTTATCTAAATAGGAACAAGGCCCTGTTTGTCCAGCTCAGGGAACAATTTCAGGGTCTGAACAGTCGAAGTGAGAAGATGGTGATTCTTTTTGGTTTATTTTTGGCCTGAATTCCTGGCTCTATGTGGCTTCTCCCACCTCTTTATCTCACCTTGAAGAAAAGCCACATTACCTGATACATTTTCGCACTGAAGTATTCACCTTCATGTTGGGGACATGAGTGTTAGAGGGGACAGGTGAGTCATCCCTGTGCTTTCTGGGATTCTGGCAGGTGCCATTGGCTCCGTGCTCCCCAGTTGATGTGCTCTCTACCACCATCTTCAAACTCTCAGGTCCCTCACTACCATGCACTGTAGAATGTGACATTGGCCCAGAAGGAACTAAAGAGGCTCCAGAGTAGAGAACAATCATGGGAGAAAGAAGGACTGCTTATGCCCAGGCAGACAGGTCTGGGGGCAGGAGCACATGGAGGGATGGACACAGGGAAGAGGTAACTGTCGGGAGGAAGTGGGAGGGGAGCTGTTGCATTGGGGTAAATTATGGTCAATGTCATGAGACAAAGTGTATGTGAACTACTGTATGGAAAGTGAATTTTCTCTGTAAACTTTCACCCAAATCACAATTAAAAAAAAAAAAAGA